TTGATTAAAGTGCTGCGATTAAAACATTTCCTGATTGAAGGTTAACAGACTAATCAATAAAAATCAGTTTCTTGAAGTTATATTTTAAGTCTTTCTGCTAACTACACAGAAGAACAAGAAACTCGGCAAATTTCAATAACACAGGCATTAGACATTCAGCATAATGACTTTCTGAGCACCAAAACACACACAAAACAATAATGCCAACAAGCACCAACTACAAGACATCAGCCACCCTGACACTTCCAGCACATACTGACCGCAGGACACAGCAGCCCAGGGTCAGATACACTGCTCCTCTACACCCTGACAACAGCTCAGAGCCCAGTGCTCTCCGCTCCCACAGAAAACCCACTCCAGTGCAGGTGACGGGTGAAGAGGCCTCATTCCTACCCTCTACAGTGAGCCGGGCTGTGGTGTGCTGGTCTCCACACACACAGCTGTAGTCTCCTGTGTCTTCAGGCAGAAGGCTCTCAATTAGCAGCTCAGCAGTGCAGCCCCTCTGCTTCATCTTGTATTTGTCCCCAGTCTTCAGCGCTGCTGCCCCTTTCCTCCACTCCACTGGGGCTCCAGGTTTCGACAGCTCACAGCGCAGGGTGGCGCTGCCTCCCTCTTTGGTCTCCTGGTTCTGGAGCTCTTGCTTGAAAGTCACTGGCAAAGCTGGGGAATCATGAGCAGCTGTTCATAAATTACGTGAAAAAGATGGTTGTGGCACAAACTGATAAAGGACCCATATTAAAGGTTCAAATGTCACTGACTGGTTAGAGAAAACTGGTACCAAGCAGGACAAAAATGTAGAAGCAATGTGATTTGTACTGAACATAATAAAACACAAGAACAGCACTTGGTGCAAAAAAATATTTTTTTAATAATATACAGTAGTTAAGCTGAAAAAACTGTCTGCCCTTAGTAGGTGAGTTATTAGGTGTTTTATTAACATAGACTTAGTAAGCCAAAGTGTATCCTGAATGCATCCTGAATGCATTGTGTTGTGTTCTCTTCTATTTTTCAGCATGGAATAAAGCTATTACTTATTCTTTTGTTACTCCATTGAAATTAGTTAAGTAACTTGTCATATAGGCCCATTACAATCAAACATTAGCAATGTCAGTTGCTTGGATCCATCAAAAAGAAATATGTGAACTAAAGTGAAATTTGATATGTCTAATTTCCAAATGAAAATAGGGTTTTAATGCTCAAATTGAAGTTATTTTATAAGTGGTGTTCAACAAAAATGTGAAGAACAGTATTCTCAGATACCAAAGAAAAAATTACCAAAACTGCTAGCAGAATTGTTCAAATTGTTTATAGCAACTATGTTTCATTCAAAACCTAATTAAATTGAAAAGAATTGCAATTCAAATAAAGAGCTTTACTGGGATAACTTGCTTGGCCAAGAAGAATAAGAACCTATAAGAGGTTCTTGGAACCCGCCTCCCTCCCCCAGTGAGGGATGAGACAGGGAGCAGCTGCAATCTTGAAGATAGGACAGATTATATTTGATATTCTGTCGTTGTGTAGATGACTATCAATATTGAAAACTGGAGACAATTTTCTCCAACAGTACTACTGGTATCAGATCCCCTTGCTGCAGTGCAAATTCATGTTGTGTTGATGCAAGAGTAGTTTTCTGCTCCTCCCTAGCTCCCTCTAGCGTCAATTACACTTTATCCCCTTTTCTAAATTAGTTTGCCTCTCACATTATAAATTAATGTGGCAAGCACAGTTCTTTATTGTTTGTTTGAAGGACCCGTGAGACACTATAGTTTGCAGCATTTACTTGTTTGCAGTATAAAAGAAATCAGAGAAACTTTTCTCTTCAAGAAACCTGTGGAATACTTTGGCAAATCACAAGAAGTTGGAAAACAAAAGCTCACCCAGTCAATCTATTAGTTAGCTTGAGAGTTTGTATGTGTAGCTAGGGTGCAGACATGGAGATTTCTGTGGGCCTGGTACTAGGCTGAAAATGGGCATGTGCTAGAACTGCATGTACTGTAGAATGACATGTTAGGAAGAAATTGTTACAGAATACCGCTAGTATCCTTATCTCAGAGTATGCAGCAAAAGAGCCGCGCCAGTGGTGACTATGAGACCCAAAATATCACACCTGTAATGCATCATTTGTTTTGTTGAAACAGCAACACAACTGACCTAGGTTACTCTTTTTTAGTGAACTACAGGTAAACTACAGCAAGGACTCAGCAAGGAATATGACCCAATACATAATAAAAGATCATACTGCTATTCAGTAGTGATACACTCACACACTTAGAAAGAAGAAAAACACTACATTAAGTTTCAGTTCCCAGATCCAGGTAGCGTGGTGCAGAAATGACACCCATGAAATATCGTGGAAAACCAGAAATCTAGAGTCTGTTATCTACCTCACCTTCTGTCTAAGCAGGTTGCAATGTTCTGTCAAATAAATCAACATTTCTCTCTTTATCTTAATTATCTCTGTATTTCAAGGGGCGTACTTTTTTCCCTACCTCAAATAATCCAGTTCATATCACTCTATACTTGAGCACCAAGATTCTTTTAAATGAAATTAATTCATACTTTGTTTCTTTTGTATACACCAGAGCCAGTGTCTTGTGTGGCTCATTGAATTAGCAACATTGATAGTATTCTTACTGCTAAATAAATGCAGCTACAATGCATTACTAATTTATCTAATTTGGTACCACTGTCAAAACATAAATGTCATGTGCCCATTTGCTTTAATTACATACCTAAAGTAGGCACTTAGCTTATTTAGCCAAAGTACTAAAACCTTCCCTGAAAGACCAGACTAGTGGTTGTCTGTGCAAAAAAAGGACTCTTTTATCCTTCGGAGATGATCAAGCACAATAATGGTCATTAGTAGGATACGGGAAACAAACAAAAGAGAATCAGAACATGATGACAGTTAAAAGGTTAATCACAAGGTCCACTTTGATGCACTCTCCTGTGTTAGTAGTCTTCGTTTGGGACTGAGGTTCCAGGTTTAGTGAATGTGCAGCACTTGGATCCTTCTATCTGCAACCTCTAATCCTCTAAACCCGAATAAACCGTACTGCCATTTCTGAAGTACACATGAGAAAACCCTGTTCATCAGGATGTCTCTGTCATTCCATTCCCAGGATTATCATAAACCAAACCTTCTAACAGAGGAATAAACCAAACGCTCCATACAAACAACAGAGCTCTGCTTTTTGAAAGCATACAAAGTGATATTATCACTAAAAAGGGGAACACAGCCTACCTTTGCAGCTATGGGCATCCTTGAACGTTTAATAAGCATAGGTGTGTGAAAATATGAAGATTATGATGAAGCACTTACAGTACAGACACAGATGAGAATAGTTAATTACACACAAGGTGTGATTTATTAGTGGCCAGTAAATTAAGTATGAAAACATTCATGATGTTACACCCCAGGGAGTTTATACATTGCCTTGTTAATGGTGATGATGAGGCAATGGCAACACCTAAAAGGTGAAGAGGATTCGCTCCTTACCCTTCACTGTGACCCTGGCCTTGGTCCTGGACTGCCCTGCCTCACACTCGTACATTCCTCCATCTTTCTCCTCTGCACTCCTGATGGTGAGCCGGGCCTCAGCACCTATGCAGCTCATCTTGTACTTGGAAGACGTCTTCAGCGCAATCCCATCTTTGTACCAATGGACTGGACAGTCTTTAGAGGTCTCGCACAGTAGCAACACATCTTCTCCTTCCTGGGCATCACAGTCTTTTAAGTCTTTTGTAATGATAGGTGGCTTTTCTAAAAAGTTCAAGAGAGAGGAGTGTTACAGTACATGCCTTTCTTTTCAGCTGAAACCTATCTGATTTGAACAGCCTCATATTCAACCTTTTATATCCAACTATTAATGACAAAAGACCAGTAATGCCTCCACCTCTACACCACTAAATCTGTATCGTCAGTGAACATTTCAATAGCAGAATCATCATTCTAAAGCACTTTCTGGGACTTTTGTATTCTTGCTGAAATGAGCTATTCTTTAATGTTTCTACATGAGATAGGTTAAACCATCTTGGAGTGAAGTTTCTATGCCTTTTTGAGGTTTGAGACAAGATTTTAAAGAACCATCACACTCTTGATGATCAATTAAATCAATTCTTCTCAGTGTAAATAAAGCTACAATGTAACAACATATATCATGCATTGAATTCACCTCAGGTGCAACTAGAAATTCCTGCTCTCCTAAGTGACTTTTATTTTAAAAATACCCAATACAAACATTACTAAAACAGAAAAATAGAAACAGTTTACTGATAAGACCAGAATCACATTCTTTAACTAGACGCTATAGAGAAAACTAACAGACAATGGGATGTTATAAAGAGGAAATGCTCATCTTCAGCCGGAAGAGCTTGCCCCTATATGAATTTTCTGCCCAAAAGACCTGTGAGGCTGTGTCTTTCCTGACCCCACATATAGTCCTCTATACTAAATTCATACCATGCACTGTTAGCCTGGCTCTGCACTTCATGGCCCCAATGTCGCAGGAGTAGCTATCGCTGTCATTCTTCTCCAGGTTACTAATGGTGAGAGAGAGGAGGGTTCCCTGCTGTTTTATTTCATACTTGGTGCCATCTTTCAACTCCATCACACCCTTCTTCCAGGTGACTTTGCTGACAGGAAGTGTGGTCTCACACTCCAGAGTCGCAGAGCCCATCTCCTCCACCGTCAGGTCTTGCAGCATTGTGGTGAAGCTGTTTTCTTCTTCTGAAAGTGCAAGCACAGAGAAATGACTGTAACCTATGTAAGAGCTGCAATGCATAAGTGTGGAGTTTGGCTCCTTCAAACAATGCCAGCAGCTACTGTATATCACCCTGCAACTCCCAACTGGCCCACTGAAGCTCAGGTGTGAGCCTGGTCAGTACCTGCATAGGAGACCTTCTGGGAAAGGAGCTACGGTCGTGGCTGGAAGAGGTGATAGTGGGACCAGTAGGGGGCACTCACCCTGTGGTCTGTGAAGGTCCTAATGCCGCTGTATAGTGATGGGGACCACCATACTGTAAAAAAGCACCTTCAAGTGAGATGAAAAAATGAAGATCCTGGCTCTCCGCGGTCATTAATAATCCCAGGGCATTTTTCAAAGACAGTAGGGGTGTTACCCTGGCCTAATTTCCCCGTAGCCTTTACCAATCATGGCCTCCGAATTGGCTCCATGACTTCTCCACAGTGATATCTAATATGTTGTGAGCGTACTGGCACACGTTAGCTGTCATCGTATCATCCAGGTGAGGGCTACACACTGGTGTGAGTGGATGGGAGTCTGCATTACCCGTGAAGTATTTTAAGTGGATTATTATTTTACTATGATTAGATGCAGACCAAAGAAATAAAAAGAAAAGGCAAAAATGATTTGATGTTCCTATTGAACTCTATATTGCAACACTATATTCTTAAAAACAATTTCCACCCATCCCCCGATTCAAGGACTTACCCTTCACTTCAAGTTTTGCTCTGGTTTTGGAGCTGTCTGTCTCACAGCTGTACTCTCCTGAGTCCTTGGCTGTGGTGTTGTGAATGATTAACGTCTGCAAGCTCTCTTCCTGGATTATCTCATACTTGTGGCTCCTCCTAATGGATTTGCCATCTTTGTACCACTTGACACTGGCTCCAGGCTTTGATATTTCACAGCTCAGCACTGCATCTTCCCCCGGGGTCACCCTGCAGCTCTGCAGCTCTTTGGTTATAGTAGATGACTTCTCTACAAAGGTAAAAATAAACACTCAGAAACAGAGTGCTCAGAAGATTGTCTATCCATCTAGGCAAATTGTCTTTCAGCTTCTCAACACGCAGCTTATACACTACTGAACAAAACATGACATAGCTGAACTAAAAGAAAAAGTAATTGTGGTGAACTATTTTGGATGTTGAAAATATTATTTATGAGGAATTGATCACATCAGTGATATTTTGTTTTAATGAAAAAGGTTATTTATTTGACATTCTAAATCGATTTTTATCCTACATCTTTTTTTTTATTTTTGTTGTTTATTTCTCTTTCATTTTTTTTGTTCTTAATGTAAAATGTCTCATGTGGATGATACAAAGCACAGTCTTTAGTGACCTTTGACAAACAGTGTGGTCTTGGAGCTGAGGTTCCTGGCAGTGAATACTATGTCCCCAGCATCAGAAGCCTTCACTTCCTTGATGGTCAGCATGTACTTGCGGCCCTTGTTGGAGATCTCAAATCGACCATCGTTCTCCACTGGCTGCCCCCCCACACTCCAGGAGCAGTCATCAATGCTCTCATGTGATAGGATGCACTCAAAGCTGCAGCTCTCCCCCTCCTTTGCCTCTGCAGTCTTCAGCCTCTTGGTGATCCCAATGTTCAGGTCTAAAAGGACAGAAGCGGACATAAGATGAAAATTCATGGCACCACCTAGTACTGACACATTCAGGACATTCAGGGTCTTTAGCTCCATTTATTTACAACCATTACTGAATTTCCTCAGAAGAATGAATATGAGAGATCATTAAGTGTGTAAAATAGAAAAATATATGAATGTATGAAGAAACAGCATAAAACAGTATGAGGAAACAGCATATCATTAGTGCAATACAGAAGGCATGCTTCATGTGTAGCCACCAACACAACATTCTTGGTATGTTTAAATATGATGATCAGAATCCCATACTCAAAAAAAGTCATTACAATAAAGCTCCCTCATCTTAGGGCTTATAACAGTAAAACAACAAAACCATACTTCAACTCATAAATAGATCGAATGATTGCTTAAAACATGCTTTTTTAGACAGCTCCTTTAATGAACTCAGTGCGGTAGTGCAGATGTGAATTCAGTATGGTACCCACCTTGAACAGTAACCTTGGACTTCGCGATGTCTGTGCCAATGTCACAACTGTAGAGCCCAGCATCCTCCTTAGTGAGGTCATGGACAATCAGACCAAGTGCCTTCCCAGCATGCAGCAGTTCATACTTATCGGAAGCAGTCAGGACAACACTGTCCTTCTTCCAGACAGGGGTGACTTTGGGTTTGGAGGCTTCACACTCCAGTGTGATCATCCCTCGCTCCTCTCCCACTACATCATCCAGTGACTTCAAGAACACAGCCACCTTCTCTGGAGAAGGCAATGAAAAAATAACATTAAGGACTTGATTATCTAGAAGATGTCTAACTGTCCCAGGTGTAATGGAGCAAAAATGACACACAACTTCATATTATAAATGGAGGACAGTGATATACTGTAAGACTCCTAGGATGCTATTTATGCATATGGGTGATGGTATTTTTAAGTTCATAATGCTTTTTACGATTTCTTTAAAATAACTGTAAGCTGTGAATAAATTGAAGATTTCTTTGAATCATGCTTAATTGTATCTTTTTCATAAGGAACAGTTAATTCTTTCTCTGTGTGTTTTATATATTTCCTGTCAAAACCTTTGCTGCATTACAACAAAAGCAGCAATGAAAGTGTGTCTGCCCAGATCTTGACCAGTAATACTTATGTCCAATTCATTTCCACCTTTGCCTGTATTTACTGCTCCTTTGGTGAAGATATTTGAGTTAAAACAAGACTTACCTTTAACCGTGAGGTTTGTTGACTCAGTGATCTCCCTTACTGTGACCTTCACAGTCCCAGAATCCTCAGGGGCCAGCCGCTTGAGGGTGAGGGTGTGGCGTTTGCCAATCTGCCTGATCTCATTGACATCATTGGAACAGAGTGGGTTATCATTGAGGAACCACTGCAACTCTTCATCATCGTGGGACACCTCGCAGCAGAAGAAAGCACTACCATCCTCCTCCACCTCCACTGACTCCAGGTGCTGGATTATCTCCACTTTGCGAGCTGCAGACAAAACATTAAAACACGTCAGAACAGACCGTGCGGTAAAGATGAATGAAATCTCATACATTTTTCCAGCAGTGTAAAGTTTATTTCTGTTTTCCTTCAACAAAGCTTAAAACCTGAAGGATTTAGCTACTGTAGGAACTGGAAAGCTTAATACTGTACGTGAATTGTCAAATTGGCTTGATACAATTAGTGGAGTGCCTCAGGGATCTGTCTTAGAACCTCTGCTTTTAATTATTTATCTCTGTGATCTAGATTGCAAGATTGCATAGTTAGCAAACGACAGCATTCAAGTTCGCAGATTAAACTAAATTAAGAATATTTAGCAAAATATCACCGAGTAGACATCTTTCTCAGATGGCTCTGACAGATTGTGCTGCAGGTGTGCGACTTGGAGAGAAAATACGTGCAGGCATCCACACAATATTAAAAGACCAAAAGCAGAAGATTTCAATCAGGAAAGAAACACAGAAGTCTTCCAATGGTCTGATCATCTAGACAGGCTAACCAAAGGGTTGCCAATCAGACCACACAAGAGCTAAGATTGACGGTGGGGAAGGGAATGCTGGCAGTTAAGTGCTTATTCACTAACTTGTTCTCCCATATATTACGAGGAGAAACATATACTGTAGTTTGGCTTGCCATAGTTTGAAAGAGGGTGAAGTACAGTTCACTTTCTGTTACAGCTTAGGGAAGAAGAAGAAAAGACACGGTTTGCTGTTCTATACTGAAGTTAATTTAGGAAGGGAGAAGCACAGATCTCTCTCTCTCCTCATAATATAAAGTACAGACAAGGGGAATTTGGTCAGTTAAAAGCAGTTAAATTAGGGCAGACCAAATTAGGGCAGGATGGTTAAATTACATTCAGGTTAGTCCATCCGTAGGCCTGGTTTCATGATTCCTCACAGTTTTATTAGCTGCTTATCATTCAGGTTATGGCAGGTACGGGTGCAATGACCTTACTAACAGGATGTCAATGTGTCAACACCATGCTGCTGGTTAAGAGGCACCTGTCACACAAACACTAAAAAAACTGCAAAGGACAATCAAAAAGATTTAGATAAAACTTAAAACTGTAAACACGTGGCAAACACAAGATGTGCAGATTATTAAATGCAGGTGGCAGAAACATAAGCTACAGACACTGACCACTGAATTTGGAGAAGCCAACTAGGAAATAACTCAGATATTGATGTTTACATCTTCTAGACAATGTGAGGAAGCAGTAAAAGGGCAAACAGAATGTTAGAATATATAGCTCAAAGTGCAGAATTTAAGTCACAGTATGTTGTTTTAAAATTGTGAATACAATTAATTGGAAATTAACTTCAAATTTATTTTTTTAATTTTAAAAGCCTGTGTTCTCCACTTACAAACTAAAATAACTCATTTATAAGAAAGCTTAGACATATAAAGATGCAGATTGGACTATCAAGCCTGTTTGTTATTTATCACCTTAAGGATCTCTATTAAAGGGGAACTGCAACACTATTTTTTATTTTGGGGTTAGAATCAGCATTGATGAGTGCATTTCAAAGCACAGTAAAAGTCAAATGTACACAGGAACTTCTAAAACCTCCAATTTACATCACAAAATATATGAAATTTCCAGGAATGTCCAGTTCAATGTTCTACGATACTGAACAAGACAACAATGTAACAATGTAACAATGTGCTGCAGCCCTATAACATTGTAAGCAAGCAGGCTTGTAAATACATCTCTTCTAATCCAGTAGCTCTTCAACTTCGGGAAGGGTTTGCTGACAAATACAACTTACTTCTTAACTCTGCCTGCAGATCATGTTGGAATCTTTCTGGGGTGAAATATATGCTGCACAATATGTATTTATTAGCTCGTTCATTGCATTGCATTAGTCATTACAGCGAATAGTGAGCAGGAAGGGACCGTATCGGTTCATAATTCATGGGGACTCTCGCTCTCACCCATGGTGTAATCATGGGTTTGCGACAACATGGCAGCATTTAGTACTTTTACAAAATTCACGATTTTGTGCATTATTCAAAATTTCTAACTTTTTTCAATGGAAAATGAATTTATTTTGTTACCAAGATTTAATAACAGACCTGAGAAACTGGGACTACAGATTCCCTTTAATTTACTTTTATTATGGAGGTTTTCTATTGTAGCGGCAAGGCTTATTAATAAGACAGAATTAAGTGTTGCTGTGCTTTCCCAAATGAGGCCCCATCTCTCTCTTCATCTCTGTGGTGCAGCCACAGAGAAGCTATTCATGCAGGCTGATTTAAAGATGTTTTCTTTTGATAAGGGACAGCTCCCAAATGGGGATGCACTTAGCTAAGCCTGGCTATCATGATCAATGGTCATCCATTGGCGCCTATCTGTCTAGGGAGTGCCAGATGGACATCTGGACTGCATTCCTAAGTGTCAGGAGTAAGTGACTCATATCTCACCTTTATCAACCAATCAGGGACTGGTAGGGCCGAGTAACCCACGTGGGTCTCTGATGCCCATGAAACTGTCAGCCAATGAATGAGCTGAAGTTCCCCCAGGTAAAAACAGGCAACAGAAGAGACTATTCTAAGGAGAATTCTGGGAGAATTCCAGGGGTGCGAGACAATTCCAGGGCAGGACGGCCCAGGAGCAGAAGGCTCCCAAGGGCAGGACATTCTCGCAGCGCGCCGCCTGACCATCCTGAGACTCAGCCCGGACAACCACGTAACGGCCAGTGTGTCCGAGTGCCAGAACTTTGCTTTGTTCTAAGAGTCAAGAGCGGAGGTTGCCAGCGTAACCAAGGGATCCACCCGAGGTTAGCATCAGCAGCAAGCCTCATGAACAGGTCGGAACTGTGGACAGCTGAATCAGTGTTCAGAACTAGTGCTTCATCAGGAACGAACTGGTCCTCTTCCTGACCTGCTGGGAATCACAGTCATCTTTTCTCCTGTGCACAAACTCTTGCCAGTTTCAGCCAAAACTAACTAGCCGGTCTTAGGAGAGCATCAGCAGCGCACCGTCGCAAGCCACACAGCACAGTCTGGCACAGAACCAGAGAGCGCGGTTTGGACAGCAACAAGCCTGCAACTGCTTCTTTGTGCCCGCAGGAGATCTGAAGCCCCATAGATTGGATGAGTATTCAACTTCACTGCATTACAGCTCAATAATTCAATTGTTATCCCAACCAGTTGATATTAATTTAATTCCTAAGAGTTATGTACTTGTTTTGAGTATCTAATGTAGAAGTTATAACCAAGTTCATTTACGAAACGGTCTAAATGAATGATATAGTGAACGTATGTCCTCTTGATATGTGTAACTCTTCGTAACTGAATGTATATCTTTTGTATTCTGATAACCCTCACGATAAGATCTGTTAGGTTTACATGCACATTCAATTTTAATAAATGTATCCTCGTGTATTAGTACCTGTGTGTGTGCGTTGTTTGAATTATATCACATGGTTGGATTCTAAGGCCATTAAAAGAATCAATTTAGTGATTTACTGCTACAATTAATAATTGTCCCAGTAAATGCCCAAGCCCCTACAGAACTGGTGCCTCGTGAGAGCGCACTACACTATGAAACAGTGGGCCCAAGATCACAAACGAGTACATCTGTACATTTTAAACTCAGTTGAAAATTAAAGCTTTCATGCCACTGAGCTCCTGACCTTCCACGGTGAGTGTGCCTTTGCTCTCTGCATTGCCAGCCTTGCAGCAGTACACTCCAGAATCCTCAGGTATCAGCTTCAGAACGGTGAGCTCCATTCGGCCTCTGTCCTGTTTCACACGGTACTTGCTTGAGGCCTCCAGGAGGGCTTGGTCCTTGTACCAGTACACCGTCTTAGGAGGGGGAGAAAACTCACAGCTCAGGGTTGCAGATCCCTTCTCCTTGCCGTTTGCATCTTTGATCTGCTGCAGAACCAGCACCGGAGGTTCTGTAGTGAGAAAAAGAGGACTGTTAGTGCTACTATCTTTAAGAGAGGAATATTAACTGAATAGAACTGATGTGAAGGAGATATAGAAGCTGTTGTGTTTGATTGGGATTTTTGATAGGGATTTATTTAACACCTCTCTTCATCAAATGCCCTAGAATGAATAGGGCTGAAAGTTTTCAAAGACAATTTTTTTTGTAATATAGCCTAGCATCGAACCATGTGATGAATAACCATTAAAAATATTCCATTGTGTTACTTTATTGCAATAATATGTCCTGTGAACACCATGTAAAATACAAGAAGATAAATAAAGGACATTGCAGATAGCTCATGGGTTATATCCGTATAAATTCCTACCATAAACTGCCTTTTGAGTTTGTGTTTATACTCTCTTGATATATGAATGTCCTAAGTACAAATATGTAACTCATCAAAATTACATTAATTTGATTTTATTTCAAAGATAAATTACACCCTGTGAAAAATAAGTTATATTCATACAGTATGTGTACAGCGTATCAGGTAGATGTCCCTGCTTGTAATTTTTCAAAGAAATCCAATTTGTAATTTCAATATTCCAATGTTCAGGACTCAATCTGAATGAATAGATTTAATGACTTTACTGACTTTAATGACAAGTGCTCCTCATTATTACAGGGGCATTTTCTAATGCAACAGTTTGATTGTTCATTGCTGCTGTAACATAGTGGAACCTGAGAGTCTTCACAGATGCCCAGACATTCATGACTGAGGTTCACAGCCTCAGTAATGACATGGTGATGCAATACTGTGCTGCAGGAGGTGCCATTCTTCACCTGAGATGTCCAGCAAAGACCCAGACTACTTGGGCATTAAAGTAGCCCATGGCACTGTTCTTAAAACCATTTGTACTAAGCCCTGTGAACTGAATAAATTCCACACTGGCTTGCACAATCTAGTCTAACTAAAGTCATTAAAATCTACCCTTAATTAAACTGTAGGACCAATTTCTCACTTTTACACGTGTACAATTTGTTATAGTTCTACGATCTTGCCACTAGAAGGCGCCCCAAGCTGTGGTTGCTGCTCCAGATGCACAGCAGAAGCACAGACCAAGCAGAAGATTGTGTAGTGTACCTGGGCCTCCATGTCTCCCCTCCTCATATTTAAACTGCTCTCAGACTTTGCTGTGTGCAGTATTGTTTACCTCTGTGTTAAGCTCTAGATCCTGACTTTCTTGATTTTTTTTCCTGTTCCTTGTCCCGATTCCTTTACTTGTTAGCTTACTCCTTGTTTTTGTTCTTGTTATTTGTTACCTCATACAGTAGATTATTTTCCTGCCACTGATGTTTTGTTTTTTTCTCCCTGGATTACTTTCCTGGTTTTGGACTTTGACCTGTTTCAAGACTTCAGTTGTGGATGGTGTTTTATTGTTGTCATGTGCACTTCTTTGACTGTTGGAACCCACACAGGGCCCATTCCTTTTTATTCTGAGTTGTCAAGACAGCTATTATAAAATAACGAGCTACCAACATGGAGCTGCGCATCTGGAGCAGCAGCCACAGTTTGGGGTGCCCTCTGGTGGCAGGTTGGTATAGCACAATGGGGCTGATGTTGCCTAATGGCAGCTGCGAATCACTCAGTTGAGTGTTGCAATTCCTGGTATATGAAATGGTTCCCCTCCTACATAAAGCACTACAGAATCATATAGGATAATAACTATCTGATGATAATTAACTCATATAGTATATTATCATTTTGAATGCCAAAAGGGTGTTTTAATATATTATTAATTGATTGTTGCAAGCCTCAAATTAATGAGGCTTGAAAAAACAAAACACCTGAAAGCGATACCTTTCACAGTTAGCTGTGCAGTAGATTTGCTTTTGCCAGCAGTGAATTGGATGGGGCCAGTCATGTCAGCTTTGGTCTTTCTGAAAATGAGGCGGTGCACAGTGGCATCATGCTCAATCTCCACATCCCGACTGGCGTGGAGTGGCTCGCCGCACAGTGTCCACTTCGGCGGCTTGACCTCCACGACACTGATCTCCACCTCAAACCGAGCCTCAGCTGGTTCTATCACCTCCACGGAGCTCAGCTCCCGTACGATGGTGATGGCTTGCTCTGAAAAAAAGGTAATTAGTAAAGTTAGTTGCTTCACCCATATACCATCCTTACATTTCTCTGTGATACAGTGAACTATATAAAGTGGTTTATTAAACATGGAAGAACAGAGTGTTGATAAACTCTAAAAGTCAACAGGAATTTGCAAAAACCTGCTTTGGAGTATTAGCTATATCTGTTGTAAAATGCCAATAGTTTGCTCTGTGGATTCCAGAACAGAACAACTTAAAGTTTGATCTGTGACTAATTTGAAGTACTTTTCACTGCAAATATGAAAATGAATTAAAACGCCAAAGACAATTTCCCTATATAAAAACCCTTACTTATTTTATGAAATATTTTGGCATACTAATACAGATTTATGTTCCTCTTACACAGGAATAGAGTCGGTTTCTGTCAGCCTTAAGAATCAGTGATATTACAGTACCTTCCACAAGTAACTTGCAAGAGGTTTTGGCATCTGTGGCATCACAGGTGTAGGTGGCTTCATCTTTTTGCTCAATGTCATTGATGATGAGCTTCCGGTAGACATCTTGGCTGGCAATCTCATACTTCTTGCTGGGTTTGAGCTCTTTGCCATTTTTGTACCACTTAACCTCAGCATTGGGCCGAGATACTTTGCACTCCAGGATACCCCGATGCTTCTCTATGGCAATCTTGTCCCTGAGTGGCTTCACAATCTGGACTGGCAGCTCTGGAACACCAGTGACCAGATCACGTGGATCAGTGAACATTTGTAAAAGATACTGTAAATTGTGGAATTCACCTAGACCTGTTCCTTCACAGTGAACACGTTAATTCCCCATTCAAACGTTTTCAAAATCCAGTATATATATTTGAATTAAAGCTAACAAAACTTTATGTGAAGAGACTAAGGATTATAAGCAAGGTAGATTTGCAGTTATATCAACAAAATGCACAACAGCTATTTATACTTAAGTAACAATGCAGCATTGACTGTAGTGTACATCTGGCATAGACTGTCATAGCTGCATGGGGGTTTCTGAATAAGATCCTTTGAATATTACTGTGGCTGTGATGGCTTTGATTTTGAGACCTGCTGTAACTGAGCAGCTGTTATTCTGAGTTGTCCTTTGGAGGGTGCCTTAAGTACAAATTAAAGAGGAAATAAGTGCAAATATTTGACTTAACAGGCAAAGAACAAAGGAGGGGTCTCTTGTTAAGATCATTTTAAGAGTCCCCACCAAAGTGAGTACTTTAGGTTCTGTGCTCACCCATCGACTCAGGGAATTCAAGACAGTTATAGGGAATAGGTTATTTCAAGCTGTGTGATGAGACAAGCATGGCTTACTCTCCTGACAATGAAGCTTAGCCCCTGCTGGTGAGCGAAGTCTACAAGTTACCAGTTTGCTACATTAAGAAAGGAGCTCTCAGAGGGACAGAGAACTTCAGCGATATGGAAAACTCAGTTAGGAAAAGTTAGTTATAGACCAGATTTGAGTAGGTAGTGATCTCATTACATCGCAGCCCTGACATTCCCTATTATATTACTTCTAGGAATATAAAAAATGCAAAGACCAGAGTAACAGGTGGTTAATGTGTGTAAGTCCTCCACTGCTGTGAGACTGGTAAATGGGAACCTGGCACATCCACCTAATAAAAAATAGGATCAGGTTTGGTAGACAGTAGCATGCGTTAATTACTGTAAAAAAAAACTTTTACGCCAAATTTCCAATTAGAAAATAGTTATTTGCTTCTATTATAAGAGGAACTTCATTTTCTATTATTTCATATTTCATTGAATATAAATAATATTTTCATCTGCAATAGTATATATTACAAGTTACCTTTGACCTTAAGTTTTGCTGTGGATGAAGTTTTCTCAGCAGTAAATTTGATTTCAGCTGCATCTTCTGGCCTTACAGACTTGAACAGTAACACATAGGTTCTCCCTGGTATTAAAAAGAAGAAACAATACAAATCACATTATATCTGGCATCTGGCCTTGAATTGTGATGCATAAAAGTACTACAGTTGAAGAAAGTATGAATTTTGATCTTTTGACTATGAAATCTCAGTAGTGATCTTACAAGACTACTGGCAATAAAATAACAACTGAATGGGTGTAATTATTGGGCTCTTAGTATCAACTACAGTATAATTCCCACAGACGGTTTATGGTGATGTAGAATGCACAAATTTAAGGCAACGATTTAATCATAAATTTCCCTTTAATCTAAACTTTTTCTGAAGCTAATTTAGCTTTCAAAATGCACAGAATTACCTATACAAGATATTTTCTAACACAGCATTTAGTAAAACCTTTTATCCTCCTCTTATTCAGTTTCTCTTGGTTTTTCGCACAGTAAAACTGTTCACTGTATTTCAGTTTATCTGTTAATTGGTTTTCACCACACAAACTCACCTTCCTGTCTCATCTTGATGTTGTCTCCGGGCTTTATCTTGGCATTGTTCTTGTACCACTGTGTCTCCACTTCATCATGGGAGATTTCACACACAAAGCCTGCGCTCTCTTTTTCCACCACTTCCACATCTACCAGTGGCTTCAAGATCTGGATATCCCGGGCTATGGATAATGAGTAATGGTGAGATCAAGACATAAATCACTGAACATTTTCAGAGACATCACCCCTAATTTTTCTACTCACGTTTGGAATGCACCAAGACGAATGACATTGACACTCAAGGAATGTAAGTAACATGTACTGACAATCCACATCTTGTGTGAAGTCTGTTGTAGCAAATTGTGCAAACTGAAGTTTACAATTGCATGTAGGGTAAGATATCACCAGACGCTACCTAGGAGGTGACCTCTGAGACTATGTTGATGTAAATAGTTGAGCAGGGTCAAATAATTGTATTTTTAATTTGATTGAACAGTTTACACATGGGTTGTCTTGTATAAGAGGGGTTTGATTTGGGAAAGATATTTTAATAATGTTCAATGGAAAGACAAGGCCCCAGAATGCCAGGACATGCCTCTGGACTGTGTCTGTTTAGTGGGTTACCTGAAACCTTTTAAAGGTATGAGACCAAGCACTGCCACATTTGGTGTTAAAACCTGACCCTCCTGTTCAGCTGTGGTGTGCTGAGGTATGTTGTGTATGTGAGTTTGTGACAGGTTGGAACTGCAGAAGTACAGTATACAAATAGGGGACATCCATGTGCTGAAACAGCGAAAACTCATGTTAATGGAAAAACTACAATCCTATGTCTACCCCACAGGACAGGGGTACCATGCTCCAGAGTGCCTCTTGAAGGACACAGGATGAGACCTCAAATATCAGTAGGATTCATGTTTTCCATCTTAAAGATGCCAGTTACATCTGGCGCAAGTTCTCTGGAAAGGAGAATAAATGGTGATCCTGCTGTCATCTTCTCTACCCTGGAAACTGGTATGACCACTGCAACAATGACCTCTGGGAAAGTTGGACAACAGTTTGCCACAGCTATGAAAGTGAATCAAGACTGACACTTCTATTTTCCATAAAGAAGGGAATGCAGACTGAAGTGTAGCGAAACATTCAATAATCCAGTAAAAAGAGTGCTGGTAGATGTTGAATGTCCCCAGAGGAGAGGGAGGAGTCTGCAAAACTCCAAGGGTGTCTAGCTGGGAGCGAGACATTCCTTTTCCAAGGGTTCAACATGCAAGATGGAAAACCACCTGCCAAGGAAGGGAAGATCTAGACTCTATGACCATGGAGGGAGGACTTACAGCATTTAAGTTCTCCCTTTAGTGCCTTTGATGATCCAGCTTGACTTTTGTGCCAGTTTCCTACTTGACTTTAGTCGCAGAAGGTAAATGCAAAAATAAAAGCATGGCTAGAAATTTAGAAGAAATAGTACTAGAATGTTACTGGAAAATTACAATGCATTTGATGGAAAGTTCTTTTTTTACATTCACTGGACAAAACAGTAGGAACTCACAAATAACTGTGCATGTACAGTACCAAGAACAGTTTGAACAAGAGGTGTCATAGATTTCACAAGCTTCTATTTACAGCACAGCCTAATCCCATTCATACTCTTGTTAATGTAAGGGTGTATAAGTGTAATGGAGTGTGTACTGTAACTGATAAATGCCACTGGTTCCCACAGTGTTAAAGTAGGTCTATATCTTTGACAAACATTTTCTGACCAGTGAGTGTATAATGAACTCCTCTATTGAAGTGTGACGGTATTTCTTGTTTGATATTACAATTACACTGAACATTACATGTTACTTCTGTGCTTCTCAGATATATGCAGTACCACAGGGAATTTCAGGGGTAAAAGCCACATTACAATATAGTTTTTCGTCCTAAATAAAGTATTTACGGTAATATTGCTTCTTTGTTACAGTTTTCAAAAGGGAATAATTTCAAGTGACAATAGCATGTAAATGGCTGAAATAATCTAATACAGCTTTGCAAATCTTTGTTCATGCTGAGGCATTTGTCCATACCGTGAACAGCCAGCTTAGCTGAGGTCTTGTTATCAGTCATGTCACATGCATACAGGCCCTGATCTTCATAGGCACACTTGTGAATCAGCAGGCTTCTCTTGCGGCCCTGGGAAATGATGCTCAGTTTCTTCCCAGGCTTCAGTTCAACATCATCCTGGAGGGATAACAAAGAGTCATTCAGGAGAGTGGACACTGGCTCAAGCTACTCATTCTACTGCAACAAACTGCATTAAACTTTAGAGACATGACAGATGAGAGGGCTGAATCCATCTTGAATTGCTCATCCTGTTATTGCTGTGGTAGCTTATTGATCCAAGAAACACTCCATTAAGTTCCACATCAGCACTTGACAGTTTGATCCACAGACACCCAAAAACCACAGACACCCATTTAACCACAGTTTGTATAGTATGCACCCAATAAGAGTTCTGAAAAGAGCTAACAAGAAATAAGTGAACGTGTTATACTGAATTCTAATGTGTACTCTTTCAGTTACCTACAATATTTCCCATTCACCATTTCAGGAGTTTGAGTTTAGTATGTCACATCATTGCTACACTCACCACTTACAGTACATTACATGGACAGAAAATACTCTTCATCAGGATAGTGAACTTAATGGAATTTTAAGATTTACTGGATACATTCAATGATGAAATGAATACAAATTTTGAAGTCATGATTAATATCCTGCTCCTTCACATATAGGAAAAAAGGTAATTTCCTATATAATAATTTCCCATGGCAACTGTGTTATGACTATAACTTAGTGATACCACAGTACAACCTTAAGTGAAAGCTACCAGTGAAATAAATTGTATATGCGTTCCATATACAGTAGGGGAGGTCCTACCTACCCCTAACCTACCTTGAACCACTTGACATCTACATTGGCTCTGGAAAGCTCACACTCAAAGGTCACCTTCTCCTTTTCAGGAACTTTGATGTCCTGAAGAGTTTTGGTGAACTTCACAGCAGGCTCTGGGGATATAAGATCAAGGCAAATCCTACATTAACAGGCACAGTTAATGTTCTAAAATGTGCTTTTTGACTATTCTCTTTGCATCACCTCAAACATGCAACATATCATACACAATGAAGACCTGTCTTCTACAGAACTGTCTTTTTTTTTAGTTTAACAAAACTTTATAAAGACTTGACCCTTTCAAACAATGCATATGCATTAGAGGGCACCATCAGGGTAATGCAAACTGTCGTTTTCTATAAAAATCACAGAGTAATAAAATTGTATGTTTTGAAGCAGAGAAATCAGAGAGGTGTATGGCAGGTCCAGAAGGCATCCCTTGTCTAAACTACTTTCCCCAGGAACCTGTGGGATATGTCTTGTCACCCTCAGTCACCTGACCAGTGAGAAAGGACAATTGGTCAAGTGACAATTTAGAAAGCCAGGAAGATAAGGCAGTACATATCTGCAGTCTGGGGACAGAGGGCAGATCCACCGTGCTGCATGGGAGCAGCAAAGGGAGAAGAAGCCAAGAGAATGACTGAAGAATGAGGATGGCCCCATGGACATGAGCCAAGAATGATTTTCTACAAGAGTCTCAGAGAGAGACTAAGGTTCTGAGAAGCATTTCATGTGGAGAAGTGTCTCAGAGAGAGATTTCGGAAGAGGTTTTTGAGAGAAACATGAAGCTGCTCAGCTCCCCGATTACTTATGGAAAGGGAAATTGAGTACTTAATTAGGAGCTTAGATGGGTTTTAAGTTTAAGTTAAGAGCTTAAGTTTTATTTTGAGTTTGGTTGAATTATTTTCTCACTGTAAAATAAAAGGAGCGCTTGTTTTATACAGTTTGGCTATGTTTGTATGTGTGTTTACCTAAACTTACAGTAGCTCTTTAAAGACTGTTGCAACGGCACACTAATTCCCGGGTGTATCACAAACTAAACAGACATACAATTTATTCTTTTTGCACCTGTGACAGTGAGGTAAGGTGAAATGGTCTATAATGATTTTTTTTTCATTTTCATTACTCTTATTTTTATCACATTTGTCAAACTTTAAATATCCTGTAAATGAAGACTGATGTTCAGGATTTTATTAAAAGAACTGTACAGTACATGTGTACAGGGTTACTATTTTCTTATTGTTCTTGATTAACTATGCACCATAAAGGAAGCATCACTTTATGATGATACTGCTTCTGAGTTCAGGGACATGACAATACCTGTTACAATAAGTCTCCCAGACGTGTGCACCCCTTCAGCCTGGAAGGAAACCAGCCCCGAGTCCTCCAGCCTGAGGTTGGACAGCGTGAGGGAATGCTTCTTCCCCAGTGCTGAGATACGGCAGTTGGCCCCTGGTTTCAGCCTGACAGCATCTCTGGTCCAGGAACCTTCCACATCGGCGTGATTGAGCTCCACCTCGAAGGTTACAGTCTCCTTCTCCTCCACCTTCATCTCTTCTAGCCCTCGTACCAACGTCACCTTCTTCACTGTGGTGACACAAAAGACAGAGGAAGAAGAAACGTGTGGGAACAAGGCATGATGTTCCTTACTCCACCGCCTAAGCCTCTACAGTATAATGACTTACTAAAATGTTAATGACTTCATACTTTGCATTTAATAATTTTGCGGCATGTCCATTGTGGTTCCAATAGCTCCTGAAATTACATTGAAATATCTCCAGCCTGAAGGAGTAAATAAAATTATATTCCATTTATAGAAGGTATTCAGGAAGTAAATTATTAAAGGCACAGTAAAAATCAGATTAAGAAGGATTCACATTTTAAAACTTTCATATACATTTAATGTTCTCCAGGAAAGGCCTCTTGATGTTATTGCAAATGTTTCTCCTGATTTGTTTTGAGTTCTGCCCAATAATAGTTAATTATTGTATAACTGAGGTCCTTCAATTTGTTTTAATACCCTTTTTTGTATAAAAATGAATGACCCAATTCAGTGCAACAGTGCCAAAGACAGCAGCCAGTTTCACAAAGTCTTTCTAGTATTTAGATAGCCATTGACAGTCAAAAAACACTTAGTCTGCTACACTTCACTGTTTTCAAAAGAATGATTTTCTGTCAGATCTTACAAATATGCACACTTATTCAGAAGTTTAAAAGAGCCATTAATAATTGGAATTTCAATGATAAAGTCCTCATACTCTCTACGGTGAGCTTGGCCTGTGTCTTGTCGTCCAGGGTCTCACAGCTGTAGTATCCGCGATCCACAAAGGTCACACTCTTTATGACAAGGGCCTGTCGGGTCCCCTCGGTGCGGATCTGGATGTTGTCCCCAGACTGCACCACCACGCTATTCTTCATCCACTTCACCTCCGCGGAGGGCTTGCTCAGCTCCACCTCCAGAACCACCTCATCCTGCTCCTGCACCGTCTGGTTCTCCAGCTTCTTCAGGAACGTCACCGGCATCTCTGTGAGCACGAAGAAGACACCATGACGCAGGAACACTCATGAACAACCATTTTAGCCATTTAGACATTGTTTACAGCACAGTAACTTCCTCTTTCATTTATCTGCACACTGTAGGTCATCAGCTCTAAAAACCTGAATCGTGTCTGTTCTTAAGTCTGCTGATTGCAACTCTGTAACCCCAACTGTTTTTTTAAATCAATTTATTATTTTTGTACTTTTACAATGACACTGACTACTGAGTAGTTAAGAAAATTAAGTCATGTAGTTAATGTTGTGGTATGTACATACAGTGGATATGAAAAGTCTACACACCCTTATTGAAATTGCAGGTTTTTGTGATGTAAAGCCAGAAATCAAGATAAATCATGTCAGAGATTTTCCATCTTTAATGTGACCTTTGTGAAAAACAAATAGATAAGTATTAGGAAAAATAATTGAAATTAAAAAGCCTACCACACCCTGGTTGCAGAAGTGTGCACCACCCCCCAACTAATACTTTGTGGAATCACTTTTCGCATTTATTACAATAGTGTGTCTTTGTGAATAAGTCTCTATCAACTTTGCACACCTGGACTTTGCAATTTTATCCCACTCTTCCTTGCAAAAAAAGTTCAAGCTCCTTCAAATTGCCAGAGCATCTCATGTGCACAGCCCTCTTTAGGTTATTCCACAGGTTTTCTATGGGATTGACATCTGAGCTCTGACTGGGCCATTCCAAGAATTTGATCTTCCTTTTCTGAATTCCTTGGTTGACTTGGATGTGTGCTTTGGGTCGTTATCATGTTGGAAGGTGAAATTCATCTTTATCTTTAGCAGGTTTTGTGCCCAAATATCTTGATATTTGGAGCTAGTCAATATCCCATCTATCTTGACTAGAGCCCCTGTTCCAGCTGAAGAGAAGCAGCCCCAAAGCATGATGCTGCCACCACCATGCTTCACAGTAGGTATGGTGTTCTTTGGATGATGGGCTATGTTGTCTTTGCGTCAAACATATCTTATAGAATTAAGCCCAAAAAGCTTAACCTTTGTCTCATCAGACCATAAGACATTTTCCCACATGGTTTGGGGTGATTAGACGGGCTTGGATGTTCTTTTTTGTGAAAATGGCTTCCGTCTTGCCACCCTACCCCATAGCCCAGACATGTGCAGAATACAGGAGACTGTTGTCACATGCAAGGAGTGACCAGTACCTGCCAGAAATTCCTGTAGCTCCTTTAATGTTGCTGTAAGCCTCTTGGTAGCCTCCCTGATAACTTTTCTCCTTGTCCTGTTATTAAATTTGGAGGGTCTCTCCTGATCAGTACCTTTCAACAATAAGATCCCTTAGTTTTGTCAGCTCCTTGGCTATCCCAGTAGGATGCAACCCGAAAGTTTCAAGGAAATCCTACAGGAATACTGATTTTATTTGAGGTTGATCAGAATCATTTTCTTTGATGGCAGGTGTATGCTACTTACCTTTGGACATGATTTTGAATGTGATTGGTTAACTCTGAACACAGCTACAGCCCCCATTATAAAAGGGTGTGCACACTTATGCAACCAGGGTGTTGTAGGTTTTTTTATTTCAATTATTTTTCCTAATAATTATTTATTTGTTTTTCTCTTGAATTTTGTTGGTTGCGAGGTCACATTAAAGATGGAAAATGTCTGACATGATTTATCTAGATTTCTGGCTTTACATCACAAAAACCTGTAATTTCAATAAGGGTGTTTAGACTTTTTATATCCACTGTACAGTATATCTGACGCTTTTGCTAAAATCGGACCTGTAAGAAACCATGTAAATAAATTATCTAATACTAAGCAAGTGAGGAAGTTTCACCCTGCACTTGAAGGTTGGCCTTTGTCACTTTCCCTTCCGTTTCAGCAGAGATCTGCCCTGCGTCCTTGCAGCTGACAGAGGTGATGGTCAGCCAGTGGTTGGTTCCCTCCTGAGCGATCTTGAACTTGGGCCCCACCGTGATGGGGCCTCCGTTGTGGAACCACGCCACTTTGGCATCGGCTGGGGTCACGCTGCACTTGAATACGGCGTCCTTCCCTTCCACCGCGGCCACAGTGCTCAGCTTGGAAGTGAACCTGACCAATCGAGGAGCTGAAGCACAGGCAACACAGTCAGTTTCGTTTGCGTAATCTTTTTCTTGATTTAAAGTTTGTTTGTTTTTTTATCCCAGTTCAACCTGCTCCTAAACTAAGCTCCTATTTTGTAAACAACTCCTGCCATATTAAATTGAGACTCTTTAAAAACACTGTACTGTAATTCCCCATTAAATGGCAATGCCCATGGTATGAGCATCAGCCTTCTGCTTGAGTGTTCACATCAGACTCTGCTCTGCCCTATTTTGTTCTTGATTTTCTGCTGCATTCATAGTACTGTAGGTCTGAATCAAAGTGGCTTATTTTTTTAGTTTACTAGATGGATAAGTGTCCTATGCTCTCAGCTCCCTTCCATTACAAATCAGGAAGAATCATGCTGTGCTGAAGCACTGAAATCTCACATCCTGTATTTTTCATCCTAGGCTCAGTAGGCATTAGGCTATTACAGTCTGGTGTGAGGCAATGAAGTGAAATGTTCCTTTGTGGATTTTTCTCCTGGAATTTCTTTAAATATTGGGAGCCAGATACTCATGTAAAATCTTCAGCACTTACAAACAGCATATGTACAATAAGTATTTTGTAGCACTATTTATATACTGACATCATAACTAATAAATCTTGTTGGCCCTTCAAAACCACGAGGGAATTTATGACCTAACCTAACAGTTTATAAAACCATGGTGATTTCTAGTTATTACAATAAAACAAATGCAAAGCTGATTAATCAACTGTTCCTGACACAAAAACACAAAGCAAAGTGAACTGAAAACAAAAAGTTCAGAGTGTGATCGTCATGTAATGCCAATTGTTTTCCAAATCCCTTCTAATCAAAATTGAAACGGCATTGCTTATCTTACGAATGGAAAAATGATTTTAGTTCATCCCAAATTAAATGTGTCACTTTAAGAGAAAGGCCACTTTTTTTGCTTAAACACTAGATAAGGCCACTATTATAAAGACCAAAGCAGATAAGACCACTTGCTATGGGATGATATATCTTTTAAGAGCTCAACTAAGCATTATATAAGACACTAAAGACATTTTAACGACAGAAGCTTTTGCACAGAGTTGTGCAACAAACCTTTAGTGGAGATCTTGGCAGCTGTCCTGTCATCTTTCGACTCACAGCTGTACTCTCCCTCATCCTCCTTTGTCACCCCTGTCACTGTGAGGATGCGCTTGGCTCCGTCTGCCAGAATCCTAAACCTGCTGCTGGGCTTGATCTCGGCCCTGTTATGGCGCCACAGCACATCTCCCTGGGCGCGGTTGAGCTCACAGCTCAGAGTCAAGTTCCCTCCCAGCTCCACTGTCATGGCTTCCAGCTTCACAGCAAACTTCAACGGAGGCTCTGAAAAAAGACGTCCAGAAATGTACAGTATGTTGTTTCAAGCAGGGTTATTCCTAAGATAACGACTACTTCACTTTGTAAAATGAACTTTTCTTTACTTGAACTGAGTCTGACACCAAAGAGGTAAAAATCTGAAAAACACACAAATACAACATACTGTACAACATACTGTATAAAGCCCCATGGGAAACAAAATATGAAATATACATTCCGGCTATATTGCTACAAGTGTCCTTTGTGCACACAATGCATTTTAAGTATTAACAATGATAAATAACAGAGCAGTAGCTTGGTATTTTGTTGCTAGGCAAAGGTGAAATAATATATGAAATGTACTAAATTACAGAAAAAATCTAAGTTTTTAATCAAGGCCTGAATTATGTATCATCTTCACTAAAACTGTAAATGACGATCACACTTTCCTAGGATTTAAAGAACCATCTCTTCTATCATCCCATCTGTTAGCATGTACAGTACTATACAATGTCCCCTTTCAGACTGATAGGATGTTCAGAGAAAATGGTAAAAAGGGATCAGAGCAGATATTAATTCAGGCTTAGTGATGTTATTTGTTACTGTAATTGTGTGTTATTTGTAAGACTGGCCTTACAGCAATAATTCATGCACTGTAACTCTTGGGAGATACGGTCCTCCTTCAAACCCTTTTGTTGTTTTGTCAGTCTGACAAACCCAGGAAACCCTGCTAGTGACATTTTTCAGTGTTTTAAAAACTGCAAATAGCCATTAGTCAGAATACAGATTATTGTATATTTTTCATGATAATTATTTCATAATACTGTGGTTTTCACCCATTTATTTATCATTATTTTATATATTACGTGTAATAAAAATAAACCCTAAAACTGGATTTTCTATTTGCTTATGTACTGCTCCTTTGTCTTAAAAAACCAAAGTAAAAAGGCAAAATCATAAGGCAAGCTGTCTTATCATTACTTTTAATTACAGTACATATATAAGAATGTACTTTTTTACACTATGTTTGTTTTGTGAATGTCATTTTTCCTGTATTATTTCTAATACAGTGGGTACCGACCTTTGACCTG